ATCTACATGGCGGGAGTTGGCCAAAGGGAGCATTCGGAGATTCTACGTGACACCAACCTCCGCCCGGGATCTATGCCTTTCCGATATCTTGGCATCCCACTAACGGCGGAAAGAGTCACGGTGGGGCAATTTGATGCGCTCATCAATGGGTGGAACGCTTCCTCTCTCTCATATGCGGGGCGAGTCGAGCTCATTAGATCGGTCCTCCAAGGGGTGGAATGCTTTTGGATGTCAATATTCCCCCTTCCGTTGACCGTTCGTACACTTATCATCCAACGATGCCGGCGTTTCCTTTGGGGATCAAAGACGGCACCCGTGGCTTGGCATACCGTCACCCTTCCACGTTCGGAGGGTGGCTTAGGGCTCCGGAATCTTAAAGCATGGAACCAAGCTTTGTTGGCACGAACGCTTTGGAATATTCAAGCGAAGAAGGACACACTATGGTACCGGTGGGTACACAATGTCTACCTAAGACAAAAGAATATTTGGGAATGGACTATCCACAAGAAGAATGATTCACCCCTTCAAGAACCTATATGATATCCGGAACCTAATGGTAGAAAAGTTGGGTAGCACGCAATCCGCCGAGGCCACACTTAGCCTTTGGGACTCCAAATCTCAATCAAAAGGGCCCTTAGGCGTATATGATTTCTTCCGAACCAAAGACACGCCCGTCCCTTGGAAGGGAGTGGTTTGGGGACCCGCCAATACCCCCAAGCATTCATTCATCCTTTGCCTTGCAACACTCGGGAGGCTCCGAACCAAGGATAGGCTTGGCTTCCTTGATATTGACCTTACTTGTGCCTTTTGTGGGGAAGCTTCCGAGACCATCGAACATCTCTTTTTCACTTGTCCCCTTTCGGCTCAAGTATGGCTTGGCATCCGGCATTGGCTCGGATTAAGACGGCAACTCTCCACATTAAAGAGTGCTTTGAAGTGGATCAAGAAGGAATCCCAAGGCTCCGGTTGGAGAACAAAAGCAACTAAGGCCGGGCTCGCCGCAACGATCTACTTCCTATGGAACGCTAGGAATAGGAAGATTTTTGAAAATGAGGTACAATCCCCGGAACTCATCATCCGGAAAATCCAAACTCATGTTTATAGGAGTATATTCGCACTATACCCAAATGTTCTTGTCGACATTGAGAGAAAAGCTCTTGGGAGTGGCTCGACGTAGCCTCCTCATTCCATCACCAACCCATGTGAGATTTAGGACAAATTGATTATTGCACTTTTGATTGAGATGAGCAACCGACTTGTGGTTCGCCTCTCATCATTTTGATTAGCGAGTGAGGGGCCGAGTTGTGGTTGCCCACTTCGCTTCCGTGTGCCAAATTGGTCGATGTAAAAACAAATTTTGATTTATAAAATTTATTTAACGATCAAAAAAAAAAAAATAATAATAAAAAAAAAAATCAATCCACTATTATTTTTCCCAATTAAATCATATCCAAAGCATATTCTATACTCACCTACTCACGGCGGACACATGTTAATATGCCCACTGCCTACTGGTTATGTGGAATGCACACATTGGTGATGTTAATATGTTAAAAAAAAGACATCACCAATGTGTGCATGCCACATAAACGATAGATATATTAACATGTGCCCACCGTGAGTTAATATGTTCAAAAAAAGACATTGTGCATGCCACATAAATGATGGACATATTAACACGTGACCACGGGCCAACGTGGGCAGGTGAGTGAGCATTACTCTGGCATTCCCAGCCCAACTTCATAATTTGTAGAAGAGAACTCGGGTCTTCATTGTGTGCACTGAAATTTCATTTCTTGTTCACGAGGAAAAGAACTAAGTCAGAAACCGAACAATCTTCAGAAATGCGAAGGCAGCTCTGTTTGAAGCTCTTCTCAAAGATTCCAAATAATGTCTGGTCTACGAACACCACAAATTCGATCTCCTCGAATCCAATTCTCTCATCGTCAATCGTGAAAACCAGTGGGAAACCCTTGTACCAGCAGCCCTTTTCACAGCATTCCACGCTTTCGCATTCCCAGTTATGGAAATTTTGCGGCCCGAATGGAGTTTATGGGAGGATTCAAAACGGGGTTTTGCCGGGCCCTGCTCTGGCCAGGAGGTTTTGTTCGAGACCCCTTTTCAGGGGGCAGAGCAAATTTCCTGTTAATGGGGCGATTAGAGTTTACTGGCGGAGATTTTTTCACTCGTTTGATTCTCAGCGGCGTGGCTGGTACTTTGCTATGTGCTCCGTATAGGGTGTTCATTGATTTCATGTCTACTTCTGATTTTTATTGAGTTTGCTATGAGTATCTGTGAGTTTTTGCTTAAATGTTCGTAACAGATGTTTGTAAACAATCTTGCTCGAACAAATTTAGTCATGCATCTTGAGTTGGTGATCTAAAGAATGTTGCATTTAGCTTGTAATTGAAAGTTACTGGAGCTCTCTCTTAGCCTGTTCGTACGTTACACGCGTTGTGTGACGGAAGTAGTGTACTTGCGAGTTTATGATTTGTAATCACTAAGTAGTAGAAGAGGAGTTGGACAATAATTTGCTAGCATTATTTCCTTGTCATTAGCAGTGGTGGTTTCTTCTCGATAAGGAGACTGGCATAGAGACATGGGTTTAGGTTGTGGAAACAAGGAGAATTCTGATATAGATGTACCTTGGTTTAGTTTATTGTAAGTCTTTGTCAGCTATATCTATATATCTAAATGCACATGTATGAGAATATGTTTTTTCTTCAAATGGGTGTGAGGTACAGTATCTCTAGCTTCTTGAGAAGCAATTTATAGTTTGCAGAAATAAATACCGAGTGGAAGTTTGGTCCTTGCCAAAATATTACCCCCAATGGTGGTGTTACTGTGGAATGGTGGTGAGTCCGTAAACAACAAGTAGGATTTGACCTGAGTTTAGGCTAGTGCATATGTTAGGCTAAGAGTAAGAGTAGTGTTTGTGCAGCCCAAATATGAATATCAATGGATAAATGAAGTGCCTGCAAATTTAACAGGAACTATACTTCTCAACCCCCTCAAATTTTGTAATCAATTAAAGTTTGACTGCATGACTAAATTGCATCATCATACAAAGTACATCGGGTATGTTCCCAGTGATAAAGAAAGATAAACCCCAATTGAACGATTTTCATAAAGAATGCCCTTATTAGTATATATCTATTTCCTTAATTATCTCAGCATAATCATTTTTTCTTGGAAAGCATTTAACACACCCTTAGAACACTAGAAGAAACTCCCTCTGGTCACATTATCTTCTTTGGCTTGGGCTTTTATTTTTGGATCCAATTAAATCCTTGAAGTTCATGTACTAATCCTGATAGATGAACCTAAACTTCCGTGTGCCGTTGGATGAAAATTGATGGTGCCAAAGGATTGAAGTAAAATTGTAGTATAGGAGATCACAGATCAGATCATGATGATAAATGAGCACGGAATTTTCCTATTGATTTTTCTTAGTGTGCTAATTTGATGCTCTTGAGTGCATATTCAGTATTCTTGGTTCTTCAAATCGTTAGCTATGTCATTCTTGACTTGGTGGCTGGAAAATGGTCACTTGGGCGCTAAATTGAAAAACTTTGGAACAGTCATTTCTCTTCCTTTATTTATCATTTTTTTTTCTTATCTTCTTTTGTTTTTGTGACCTGGGTGCCTCTATCTATCTGTCTGCCTGAGGTTTCTTCAATGTTTCACTTAAAACCATAGTTCCTGCATTTGCACTTAGTTAAAAAAATGCAACTGCAGCTCTCATGGCTGTCCATGACCTCCGAAAAGAAATCTACATTTTCTATGCCCTTGTAGATTTTAGCTCAAAAGTTGTCTGATCATGTCTTTCTTCTAAAACTATGGTTTGTTTTATTTTTCCAGGAGATCAGGTTTAAGACAGTTTACAGCTGATGGAGTTGTTATAGGCTTGATAGTCGCAAATGTTGCTGTTTTTGTATTATGGAGAGTAGCAAGCCCTGAATTTATGGTGAAGAATTTCATGGTTAGTGTTTACAGTATATGAACAGAGACTTTCTAGATGATGTACGCACCAGAGATAAATGTTTACTTTCGTATATATTTTTTTTTTCTCAGATTTCCGTAGACAATTTTACAAGCGGCAGGCTGCACACGTTGATAACTTCTGCCTTCAGCCACAACGAGATGTGGCATCTTATTACAAACATGGTTGGGCTCTACTTTTTCGGACTGAGTGTAAGATAACATGGCTCTTATTCCTCTCATCTCTTTTTAAGATTTTGTTTGCCATGCATGTCTTTGCTTGGCTTGGAACGTTTAGAGGGTGTGCTCTCTTAAGCCATTTGGGTTGTGTATGCTTGGGAGTTATGCTCGTGAGTTGTAATAAAGTTGTTCATTTTTCGCCAAAAAAAAAGACTTTTTTTTTTTCTGATATTTGAATTTTATAAACTACAAACTAAATAAAAACTCAACATCTAACCACTTCGGACCATATTTTATCACGTTAATAGCCAAGTATACAAGAAGCCAATGATAATCAAACAAACATATATCAGATTACAATATACATGGAAAATTAGAAATGATCAGAATGAGAGGCTAGCAGTCGTGCATTTAGTCTACAAAACCAGAATTTATGATTGAGTAGACATTCTTTTATGTGGTTGAGATGCTATTTCCTTTATTTTTCCGATAAACCTTACAGTAACATTATATGAACTTTTCTTTATATTGGCCAGATAGGAAGAACTTTTGGACCGGAATACTTGCTGAAATTATATCTGTCTGGTGCGGTTGTTGGCTCAATCTTTTATTTAGCATATCATGGCTTCATAGCTCCATCATTCCAGGTAAAATAAGCCTCTGTGCTCCTTTTTAAGGTCTAGGCATTTAACAACTGTGGACAAATATAGGTAATGTCTAATAGTTGTTTGTACCGTATGGTGTAATAGTGATGTTACTTAGGCTTCACGTCACTTATACTTTTTTACATTAAAATTTCATTTTCACAAATGCATTTTATTACCTGATCGAGCTTGTAGAGACCTGTAGAAGTCTCTTTATAGCTTATAGTGTTTTTTTTTTTTTTTTTTGGTATTACAAATGAAAAACAAGGATAAAAATTTATGTTCGAAGATGTCATAGGCAAATACTATATAGCTTGAGAACATCAACAAGTGCAAAAATCGAAACCAATGGATCAAAAGGCTCTATCACAACTTTATTTTGCGAAGTCAGAATTAATGGCATACATCTGGGCCTATGTGAATTTCAACACTTGGTGGTCCTGTACTTCATTTCTATAGTTGCCTGATTTGGTTTGTCCTGTGCAGGAAAAGCAAATTTTTGGTATGGATCCTTCAAAAAGTCGAGGACTGGTAATCATTAACAGTCCATTAGCTCTGTTATTTCAATCTTTTTTTTTTTTTTTTTTTTTNTTCACGATGTATGTGTGGCAGTATGTAATGTATTGAATATAATATGTATATGAGTAAATCTAATTTATTATACTACCCAAATTTTCAAATGAAATATCACAAGATCTTCACTGGTACTTTTCTTGCTGAGATCTATATTGTGATGTTAATACAATGAGCATGAACTTTGGCAATTGATGATTTGCGCAACTTACTTCCAGGGTGCAAGTGGAGCTGTGAATGCAATTTTGCTTCTCGATATATTTCTATTTCCAACAAAGACCCTCTATCTCGACTTCATTATACCCGTTCCAGCTATTTTACTGGTAAAAGGCTACAGTTTTACACACACACACACACACATATATATATATATACACACATACATATATTGTCGAAGACTAATATATTACGATATGATGTTCGTAATTTGTAATGTCAGGGAATATTTATCATTGGTAAAGATGTCTTGAGGATATTGGAGGTATGCTCAAATCGGGAACTCAATTTTTCTCTCTATCCTTGGATATTAGTGTGATCGTGATGGATCGAATCTTGAATTTTTTTTATGAATGAATAATCAAGCCGCGATTCTCTACATTCAGAACATTTTTTTTATTATTTTTTGAATATTTGAAATGTAAAATTCATTGCTATCTTTTTATGGGTGTGATATTCCACAGGGTAATACTCAAATTTCAGGATCGGCTCATTTGGGTGGAGCTACGGTTGCTGCCTTGGCGTGGGCCCGCAGTAGAAGGGGCCGTTTTTGGCGATTCTAAATCTTCGCCTTTGTTATTTTGCTGAATTCTTTTGCTCAGTAATATTCTACGGGTTCTGTTGAACTGAAAATCTTTCGCACAAAGACACGATTGCTTGCTTATAATCCTATGTTAGGTATCGGTTTCAATAGGTGTAATGAAATGAAAGGCCTTCATTGCTTAAGTTCCATAGCTTTTTGTATGCTTTCACGTTCATAAGTATCCCACAACTTCATTTTTGGTTTGAATACCAAACATTTTCCCAATCAATTTATGCACTAAGTTTGTTGAGTGATTACTTGCTTTCATGTACCTGTGAAGTTGACAATTTTGACCAGACATCAATATTTTGCAAATACATCCCTGATCTTTTAGAATTATAACAAACAGAGCCCCATTTTTACAGCTGAGAGAGAGGGAACACTAAACTTAAATATGTAGTCATGTACTTTATACATATAACGTTAATTACGCATTGCATAACGAAGGAACACAAACTCGGTAGTATATTTCAACTACGTAACTAACACTAACACCTTCAAAGTATGAAACAACAAATAGAATAAAACGTCAGATTAATTTTTCCCATGTCACAATTCACAATACATACCATACATATAGTAAATCTTCAAACAAGGTATCGACCAGACCATATATTTACGTACTTCATTACAACGCTATTCATTCCACTCCCACATTGTATCATGTAATTGTCCGTTATATCCATAGATACGAGCAAATAGTAGATACCTGAGGTCAACTCAGACGAGTCTACTTAGGGGAATCCTTTCGCCTTGTCGAGCAACAACTCTTTCGATTGGGGAAATTGGCGTGATCTTTTGCGGCATTGTCATACCTCCAGAAACGATGATTTCTGCAATTTCACTAAAGCTTTTAGGAACAAAAAATACACGAGATATTTTGGAAAAAAGAAGGGAAAAAAAACGAGAGCTTACACTACACCCCCAACATACCTATCCCTTCACGGATGGACAGATTGGGTCGTATGATATCCTTTGAATTAACAAGGAATATATCGCCAATATACAAATGATTTGTCGGAACAAAAACACTGCATAGTTCTTCATCTCCATCGTCTCTCTAAACCCCAAGGATAATAAACCAAAAATTATCAACTTATTAGAACCATTCACAGTTCAACTTATTAGAACCATTCACAGTACAACTTATTATAAACACTAGTATCATGCTGAGTAGACTACACTTTTGTTATGTAATAAAAACACTGAATAAGGTTCAGATGATTGAAAATGAAATTTAAGATAATCAGAGGAGAACAAATTATGATAAAACTAGAATATGAATGCTATATTAGAAAGCATGTTCTAAGAACATTAAGCACGAGTCATCTTTACATAATTCTGGCAATAAAATATAAATGACCAAGACCTAGGCTTGTCAATACTCTTCATTAATCTATACAATACATATGTTTATCTATGTATGATACAATAATGATTGATGTATTTTTGCAAAATAGCTAACATTTTCATCCCCTTCTAACATTATCTGTTATAATTAAACTTGGGATTCTGACTATGTTGAGAGTTGATTTGGGACACATATGATTGTTTTTTCCGTATAAAAGTGAATGACCTTAAGATGCAACTTTTGGGATAATATGACTGCATATTATGTTTTTCTTCCTGTTTTGAGTTTTTCTAATTTTCTCGTTCATGATACAGGGATAGCAATGTTCTCTCTTAAAAGAAACAGGGGATTATCTTTTGGCAAAAATCCAACCAAATAATAAGTATTCCTCATAGAAAGCCTAACTGCTAGATGTCCATCTGCATCTTTAGAACCATGGTAATACCTGAAGGACAACTGATGAAGTGATAAAGCCGAATGCATATTCACCGACACGTGGGTGCTGTATGATTGCCACTTCCTTAAATGCAGTATTATTTTGATCTGCAATGTACGTTGAGTACAGATTCAAAGTGTGAATATGAACCAAACTAAGAAGCTGAAGAAAGACATAAAAATCATCTCCAGAATCACCCGTGTTGTGGAGAGGATTAGCTTTTATAGTTGTATACCAATAAAAACTTTGTTAAAAATAACCTATTCAACTATGGAAAAGCTAAATTAGGCTACAATGCTTAATTATCTTGAATTGCAGTTGTCTGTGGTACATGAGTATAGGTAAATGTCCCAGTGTGCATCAATCTCGATTTCTTCATGACATTCAACGGGTTGAACTTGGACGCTTAAGCAAAAGTGTCAGAAGACAATGAATAGATAAATTACATATGTGGTCAATAAGATATTTTAGAGGAATTCCATAAATCCTTTGCCATGGTCGCTATAAGCTATCAAATACCACAAGGAAACACTGCCATTGGAAATTCATAGATGAAGGGCATGATCAACTTCTATCACGTTAACCCTTGGCTTCATGAGAAAATTCTATACAAAATGATTCTATAGAAATGCAGGCATGGTATGTTTTATTCTTTACCAGGGGAGATTGCGGAACTAATTTGCTTGGATGCTGAATATAGATGCTTAACAAATGGCATTCGCTTTATAAACCATTCTCCAATCCAAAAAACTGTCGCTCCCAACCATGATGAAACAAATACACCGACAAGGAATACGAAAACTAATGATGTCACAAATCCAAGTCCTGCATAAAAAGAAAGAATTAACACCGAAGCATAAATGGAACAGACAAGGATGACCAAACAAGAACTCAAAATCAGAAAAATGAACGAGAAAATATAACTGGCAACATGACTAATGAGGCACAAACATAAGGTCATAAAATTTTTCTTTAAGGTGTCTTGAATTGTGATATGTTATGCACAGCAAAAACAAACTCAAACTAAATTAAAGACGTATAAATGGATTTAGGCTTAATGGAAGATTTGCACCCAAAATATTTAATTATTTATCATGCTAATATATATTGCAATATTTGTAAAAGAGACGAATGCAAAAAGATCACGAACAATCTGAAAATATCCCAGCTGGTTGAATTGTATAACAGTAGGAAGATATTACTGCCAAAGATGAAAAGTGGCAGCTCAGTTTAAATTTCTTCCTACGAATTTTCAGAGGAGTATTTGTGTTTCGACAAAAAAATAAAAAAATGATCCTGATACATCTGAGAAAAGCAAAAAACTATAGAAGAGTGTTAATTTGTGTTGCATAGTTTTGATAAACTTACCGAATATGTCTATGCCCAACTGAGCATATAAAGGACTGAAGAAACCATCAACAAATTGAATGAACCACCAGGTCACAAAGAATGTTACAGCAATTGGAAATAGGACAACGCTGCAATTATAATGTTAAGCACAGTGCTATGGTCAACCTGAGAAGTTTAGACATATTTAACTATTTTTAATATTGAGACCTAAGCTGAAGAAGTACCATCCAGTCATAAACTTTTTTGAAACCCAGCTTTGAAGAACAAAACAGCAAGCCTGCCATAAAAAAAATACAAATAAAAAAAAATTTGAATTTGCTCACCAAAAATAAAAAAAAATGATAGCACAAAATTTATCCATCAAAGGGAACAAATATAGCAAGTTCATAGGGAAGCAGCTCATCACAGCAATATTTAATACCCAATAAAGATTCAAACCGGATCAGAAGACTGTTGAAAGGTATAGTTAGACATTTACCATACACTATATACACCTAGTTTTCTACTGTTTTTAGAGAGTGATATGGATATCAGATGAAGTGAGTGATCGTCATGACAATGATACTAAAAACACCAATCCATGTTCAAGGCTTACCGGAGTGATGCCTTCAATTTCATAGTTGGATTAATTTGAAGATAGCCTGAAAAAAAATTTTGCAAGGAAAAGTTTTTAAACATCTTTAGCCCAGCCATAGTGTGTGGGTGTGTGTGTGTTTTTTTTTTTCCCTTCTTGACAAGTCTGTATTGCATTTTTCCGCTTCTCTCTGATTTGCATGCTTCTCCTAATGTCACGGCATAATTCGAGAATGTTACTGTCCTACATTTAAGGATCTCCTCAATAATGAAGACCAAGAATTGTTTCTCCATTTCTTCCTTGAGCTAATGAATTGGGGAAGAAACTGAAGATTCTGTTCCAAACCTATGAGGCATTTTAGTCAACTTACACATACTTTTTTATTTAAACAAATGGGGTATAATATAATTTGTAATGTTGGGGTGAATTTAGCCGCACCTCAAAAATATTGGGGAATAGTAACATCCTTGACATATTATTCACCATATAAAGCTTACGAATTCAAATTTAAACCAAAATATACAAACTAGTTAACAGTTACAATCATTCATGTTAACCCCAAGATCCAAAAGAATCGTACGACCGTCTATGGAGATTAACAAGAATTTTCATCAATGGATCAAGAAAATGGCAATTAGGAAATCCCAAAACGGATACACCCAGATCACCACAATTTAGTCAATGGCCAGGGAACAAACAGGATCGAGTCACCCGGCACTTCGATACGGATTCAGTTTACAACAACCACACCAAATTACGCTATATTACACTCGTTCACAAGTTCACACCAGCTAAAAACGTCCCACAAGTCCATAACCGAGCTCGAAATTCAGCTATTAATAAATGCAACAAATATACAACTGAATCACAATTCACAGAAACACTTTACTAAAATAAGTATATGATTATCACACAAACTACAAAAAAAAAAAAAAAAAAAAAAAAAAAAAAAAAAAAAAAAAAAAAAAAAAAAAAAAGCTAGAAAATATACTTACGCTACGGGTGGAAGAAGAATCTGGAGGATTTTGAGGAGATTTTAAAGGGTCTTCCGGATCTCGCCATTCTTCTTCTTCTTCTTCCTCGCGAGCGCCTTGGCTCAGGGGCACCGACGTGGCGTCCTTTTCCTCCGCCATTTTAGCTCCAAATATAGTTTTCTAATTTCACCTGATTTTCCCCCAACCGCTAGAACGATCGGAAAATTAGGGCTTTACAGTTTGAAAGATGCAAGATTTGGTAAGTGGTTTCATGAAGAAGGAAGTACTGCTGGTGAAGCGGAGAGTACCAGCGCCTTTTTTCAGTCATAAATGTTTGTTATTTAATTGGAATTTATTTATATCAAATGATCGGTTGAAGAATTAAACTTGGTTGTAAATTTAAATAAAATAAAATAGAGAAAACTTCGACATATATGTTCATGTTTTACGTTTCTTATATTTTCACCATATTATCTATTAGTTAGATTTCATTTATTGCTTATTTATAATTAATTTATTCATATACATTGTTATAATGTTTAGATATTCAAGTGTAATATTTTTTTACATTGTTATTTAAAATATTGTGCAACTAGTACAATACCCGAGTATTACACGAGTGCTTGCAAAAATATTTTCTAAAAATTTAAAATTATTGAGAAAAAGTGGTTGAAAATTTAAATACTTTATATAAAAAATATTACTCCTATTATATATTTTAGTATGACATTTGTTACTTGTGCGACTTACGTATGTTATATTATAATAATTTTTCAAACTTATAACATATAACTATATTAAAAATAAATATATTAATTGAGAAATAATTTTATTTTTCTAATTAGTTTTAATAAATATTTTTATTATTACTATTATAAAAATAAATATAATTTATTTATTTTATATATATAATATGGATGTCAAATCGAAGTTCATCAAAAGATGATTAATTTGATATATTATATTTGTAAAACTGATAAAAATTACAAGAGTTATCAACTTTTAAAATACTTTTACAATTTAATGGTTATAGTAGGAAATAATATTATAATACAATTAATACATCTAAAATGAGTTAACACCTAAAAAATGACTAGGTCGTTTTATGCCCGTTATAGCAACCAGTTGTTACCTACCCTTAGTGGCACCTCACTTGTCAATCCTAGTTGGTTGGAAGTCCTATAAATAGGACATGGTAGAGCTGCAACGAACACAACACATTGATCATATGCATAAATATTCCGCTGTATAATCACAACACATTGATCATCTGCATATTCATCCTCTAAAATAGCCTCACGATCATCTTACATACAAGTGTTTGGTTCTCGAATTCGTTCAAGTTCATCGGAGCTTGAAAGTTTGGTGTGATACAGCCTTCGAGACGTCATCAGCCGTTGTATTTTTTGGGACGAGACGCCTAAACTCGTCAGCACATTACAGGATATATTCGTCTTGCGGAAAGAGCAACAATCGCATCGGCTATTTCTGCTTTGAACTAGTAATTTTGTTTATAGTTTAAGTTTGACGTTGTAAGAACTGAACCTTGCACTTCAGTTCATAAGATTCAAGATTCTCTTATAATCAGCAATGTTTGGAACATGAATGACATTTGAAATAACTGCCCCAAGGTGTCAAGAATGTCGTGAGAAGCTACAGATTAACGAGGATGTTGAATTTTTTACTTGAAACGTAAGTCATGTGCACATTTCGTAATACAATTTTGAGTTCTTTATCTTGTTTGTGATTGTGCATGTAGTAGCACAAGTTTGACCTTGCCTTATGTTTTTTTTTTTGATACAGGGACTTTCCGGTTTTCAGATCTACAGGGGAACCTATTAATCCGGAATCGAGCCGGGTAGAACCACAAAGGCGGCAAAACTCTCCTTCAAGAGTTTTAACAATGCTGCATTCCCAGGGCTCGAACACGAGACCACTGGTTAAGCTGGAAAAGACTCAAACCATCTCATCCAAGCGCTCTTGGGTACCTTGCCTGTACATATGAGTTTTTAGGAACAAATTCACACATAAGCTTACGTGGAATTTGTAATATTATTGAATTTTGGTTTTTTTTATAGTATATAAATAATAGAAAAGTAGTTGAGAAAATTTATAACACTTTATTATAAAAAAAAATGGAATTTGTGAAATGATCAAATTTTGGAATTAATTTTAATAGTATATAATAGAGAATTAGTTTGGAAAATTTTAAAACAATATTTTGTTCTAAAATCTCCACCATCCGTAATATTATAAATCATGCATCTCATGATACTCATTTTATTAATGAATTTTTCTTTTAATTAATTTAAAATTTATATAATATCAATAA